GGACACTGTTCCAATTGCTCTGATTTCATCTTTTGTGAATAGATGGGCATGACCTCTCTTCTGTTCCTTTACGTGATACATGAAGAGGAAGCTGGGGAGAAAAAAAGATATATAACTGGATAAAAGAAAAAAGGACCACAGGGCACTGAGCACACAAGACATTTTCACTGACTAAATCCATTTAGAAGGAAAGCGGTAAAGAAATGTTATGCCCTGTGGCAATGCAAATGAAGACCTTTCGATGGTCACATGACTTTTAGAGCATTTCAGAACATAGCCCACCTCTCGTCATAACTAAACATCTAATATAATTGTAACTGACTTCAAAATGCACAATAATAGCACTTTGTTGTTTTTTTAGTCACTGATATGTACACATGATTTGGGAGAAATTACTCGATCTGACAAAGCATCAAGGGAGATGTAGTACACAACATCTGGAGTGTCAAAGATTGCCTATCCCTGATCATTACTACCATCAGTAACTACTTAGTGCCCATGCACCCGAGGGCCACCCAATGTGTATTATTGCTAAACAGGCCCATGGAGGTGCCACAGCCCTTTAAGAGTCTGAACAGGTCCTTCAGTATTGTCGATGCCAGGTCTCATCAGGAACTTGGTCTGGTACTGAGGCCCTTTGGCAGCGCGACCGGGCTCCTTTAATGTGTGCAGAGCATGCTGGGAGTTGCTCCTTCAAGCCTAGAGACCGTGCAGGCTGGGACAACAAAGAGGCAGGAGGGTGCACTCCAAACAATTAGCTTAAGACTCCCATCAGCGGCAGCCAGCCCCAGGAAGTCACCTCCCTGCAACCAAAAGGTATGGAAGCAGGAAGGTGGTTAACAATATGTGAATTACAATTTGTGTGTGCCAATGTGTATATTTAGGTATCTGTAGGTGTCATTGTGTATCTCAGTGTATACCTGTGTGTGTGCCAGTGTGTATGTTTAGGTATGTGTGTATCTGTGTGTGCGCAGTGTGTATGTTTTGGTGTGTGTGTATGTGTGTTAGTATGTATCTTTGTGTGCCAGTGTGTGTATGTTTGTTCCAGTGTGTGTTTGTGTAGGTATGTGTGTGTATCTGATTGTTTGCCGGTGTGTGTAAATGTGCATCTGTTTGTGTCTGTGTATGAGCGTAGGTATATGTTTGCCTGTATGTGCCTGTGTTGGTATATGTTTGGATCTGTGCGTATGTCAGTGTGTATCTGTGTGTGCCAGTGTGTGTATATGTGTAGGTAAATGTTTGTATCTGTGTGGGTTCATGTGTGTATCTATATGTTTCTGTGTCACTGTGTGTGGTCACGTGTGTGTATATATGCATACATCCCAGCATTCAAACATCAAAACTATATACAAACTCATTCCTACTATCAAATGCCAACACTACATGCAAACAAATGCCAACAGTATGTACAAATACACTCCTTTAAAAAAACTATGTGAACAGACTTGATTTGTGGGATTTTATATTTGGTTCGGGAACCAAACATGCGCATGAACCAGAGACCACCCGGGAGCTTGTTAAGCCTAATTGACAGTTTGTAACACTTTCCAGCGCAGTGTTTTAAATGTTCGTCTGGGTTGCCGTTGTTGAAGGACCACGAGGTGACGGTCATCTTGTTCCCGCAAATGCAGGCAGCGGTCTTTGGTTGTTGAGTTCATGGAACTGTTTTCGGACACTGAAACTCCCGATCACCGCTGGACTTCCAGGATCACCTGCGTTCGGTTTCTCCACAACTTAGAAGGGCACTGTTTGGTGGAAATGCTCCCACAAACAAGGTGAACATGCTCCATGGTAGGACTCTTGAATATTCGGTAATTTGTTCTGTTTTTAAACTAATGAACTGCAAGCCCTGATTCTCTGGTACTGTTTTATGCAGGAGCCTCATGTGCTTTCGCTCAAATTATGACTTCCATGGAAATCCCGAACCCCTGAGCCAATCTGGGTGATTTTTTGATGTGTTGGTCATTTGTTGTGGGAGTACTTTTGGAGTATTGTAAAATGTTTGTTTTCGGTGGCCTGAAGTCCGACAGACATGGACGTGTAAGTCCCGAGCTCCCTGCCACCTGCCACCTAGCTACCATCAGCCACTTACCGACCGCCAGCCTGCCTAAATGGGGCGCACAAAAAGGCAAGAGCCCCAACATACCCCCAGGGCAGCTCCACCGGCACCGCCGTCAGGACCGATGGACGGGTTCCTGCAAACCTCGCAGGGACCGAGCCGCGAGGCTCACGGCTCCAAGATGGCGCCCGTCTCCCCAGCCTCCTCCTGCTCGGAACCCGACCAGCCTACTCTGGCTGACATAGGAGCTGAAATCAGACGACTGGCAGCCAATATGGTAACCAAAGCCGACCTGCAGTCCCTCACAGCCACCCTCACGACCTCCCTCACGTCAGCAGTCTCAGCACTGCGAACAGATATGGAGGCACAAGATGGACGCATCCAAATGCTGGAAACACAGGCCCTAGAATCACAACGCCGTGCAACTGCTGCTGACACAGCCTTGACAAGGCAGGGCAACATGCTGCTGGCCCAGCGCAGGCAAATAGAGGACCTAGATAACCGGAGCCGCCGCTCAAACATCCGGGTAAGAGGGGTTCCAGAGGGTGAGGGGCAGGAAAATGTAGAAGAGCTGCTCACCGCGCTCTTCCTCCAAATCCTGGGACCTGACGCACCACCAAATATACGCTTTGAGCGTGCACATAGGGCACTGAGACCCAGAATCAGAGATGGGGACCCCAGAGACATTATATGCTGCTTACACTCATTTCCCCTTAAAGATCGCATAATGCAACGGGCTAGGGCTCGACCCACGTGGCGTTATCAAGAAACGGAAGTCTCCCTCTATAATGACCTCTCCCCTACCACGTTGGAGGCTAGACGCGCTCTTAGACCTATCACTACAGCACTAAGGGAACGCAATATCCCGTACAAATGGGGCTTCCCATTTAGCATCCAAGTGAGACACCAAAACGAATGGGTCGCTGGCGCGCTGGCCGGACGAAATACCACGCTTTCTCCAACGGCTGGACCTCCCGCCCATAGCTATCCCAGACTGGATCCTGGAACCACTGGACCGAGAACCCAGACCACAAAGACAACCAAGGCACTCACGGAGAGGCCCAAGGGAAAACCGCATACACGAAGCACCTTCACACCCATCTAACCCAGAAGAATAGCCAAGCACCGATGGCACCGGGCTCGTCTCTCTGTGACACCTATGATCAGGTTACCTGAAAAGATGTAGACGCAACCGACGCCCCGCAGACAGAACTCATTACCCACAACCCACTGACCCAAGGAGCCAACTCCGCACGCTACCTCTGGTGTGCGCACACCCAGCGACCCACACAATCTAGATGGGGACTAGGAGGGACATAACAGGCTCTTGACCACAGGAGATGGAACTGTTGGTACCAGTTCTACTAGGCCCCACCGGCCAAGATACTCCCCACTTTATACCCACCTTTCCATAGCCTGTGGCACACGGGGTTGGCACTATCACGAGACTCTCTTGGGAGGGGGGGAAGGCTTGTGATAGCCACATTGGGAACCCAGGGAAGTTGAAGAATCACGAGTCGGATCCCTTGGCTGGACTTGCCACCGCACCTACAAGGAACCGACAAAAGAATATGATCCAGAACTGGATACCTGCACTGGCAGAGACACGACACTCTGGAGGACTCGTGCTAACAGGTTCAGGGGGGAATGATGAACGCTGGGCTGGCTGCATGTTGCGGACGTACGCTGGGTGCAGACAGGGGGGAGGGATTTGTGGGACTGTATTGGGCTGCATGGGGGGTAGTTTAGATCCAGCGAGACACTGATTGTTGTATTCCTAGGCCAACAGTTCAAACTGGTGGAGTGGGGGAGGATACGGGAGAATGGGAGGGTGGAATTTAGAATCCCTTAGCGTAGGACACCTGATGCAGATAGCTCATGACCACAGCAGATCTAGGTAGGAACCGCTATACACGATATCACCCCGTCCCCCCCTAGGCCTAGATACGGTCACACACAGGTACACCAACATGAGACGAGGGTGCTGCAAGAGGAAGATGGGAACTAGGAGGTACACGAAGGGGATCAAATGCTGCAACTGATGTATATATGTTTTGTTCTGCGGTTTGGGTGGGGAGGGAATGTACTGTGAGATATGATGCACATTTTGAATTGTTCACCACAATATTGACCGGGACAGCTATCTCATTGAAATTGGGGGAGATGACACCACTTACCCCCAGAGCGAACCAAACATCCCGCACATTACGTGACAGTCATGCCACACCAGGACTCTGCCCTACCCCAGACACAGGAATTTGCCCAGATCCGATATAGACCCTGACCCTGGCACCGACCATACAGCCTAAAAACACTCCACCACTCGATAGCACTACATCAACCAAGGATACGAAAAGCGACAATACTAATAACTGCTGATACCACCAGACTAGACCCATTACTCACACTAACGCTAACGACACTCAAATGCTCCCACACTGGTGGCACACCCACTGGGTAATCTCGGACTTATATACCTGTAACGACAAACAGTAGATACACCGTACGTGGTGGGAACGCGCAAAGACTAGACCACTAACCCCCGCCAAGTCCGCGTGAACAAATTCGAACCACGGAGAGTCGATAGTTGGAGGTCGTTAGATATTCTCTGACAGACCCGACTACTGACTGCTACCGTGGTCACGCGAACCAACCCTCACAGGAGGGATTTCTGACACCTACCTCTAGGTGCCGTACTGTCCCCCTCTGGGGATGGCTAACCTACCTCTACCTTCATACCCCCGCCTAGGGGACTCTCTACATCTTTTCTCAAACTCCACCCTACCTCATCCCTCCCCATACGACTCTGATCCAACCCCCCACCCCAACTTCTCCACTACCGTCACCCCGCCACCTCCGTGCCCATGGCATTTCCTAAAAGAGACGGGGCAGCACCCGACACCAGGCACCGACTAGAAGAGTAAACAAAAAGTTAAAGGACATGGCGAACCACCCCCACCAATCGCAAATGGCCTACGAACCTGACCCTCTATGCATCACAACCATGAACTGCAGGGGCCTAAATATCCCGGAGCGCAGATCGCACCTTCTCCGAGAGCTTACCTCTAAGCGCGTATCGATTGCTTTCCTACAGGAAACACACTTTAAGGAAGGACATGCTCCGCCGTTGAAGAGCAAACACTACCCCACTGCGGCTCTCAGCAACCACCCGACTGCACGTAAGGCTGGTGTAGCAGTTCTCACCCATGCTCAACTACAGTTCCAGGAAGTGGAGCGACTGGTTGACCCTAATGGCAGATACCTGTTCATTAAGGGAGACATACAAAACCGTAGGTACACCCTCGCGACGATATACGCACCAAACAACAACCAATCACACTTCATACGTAAATCTCTCTCCAACCTCTCCTCGTTCACGGAGGGCACGTTAATCGTTGGAGGAGATATTAATGTTCCCCTCATCCCTCTCATAGATTCATCCACGGGACATAGCAGCATCACCCAAGGAGCCATCCGAAGCATTCAAAAAACACTAAAGAACCTTAGGCTGGTGGATTGCTGGCGAGCGATGCACCCGGAAGACAGGGAATACACTCACTACTCGGTGATACATAAGCGATACGCAAGGATTGACTACATTTTCCTTCAACAGGAACATCTTGACGCTATCCAAACAGCAGAAATCGGAACAGCAAGCTGGTCGGATCATGGTCCTGTGACCCTGCAAATGGACTCCCCTAGGGTACGCCCAACCACTAGGTCGTGGCGACTCCAGGACTCATTACTCTTGGACCCATCAGTGAAGGAAAAGGTTTCCGAGGAACTCACCTCCTATTTCACACTGAATGAGACAGGTGATCTTCCCGCGACCACGATATGAGAAGCGCACAAAAGTGTGCTCAGAGGGACACTGATGCGCCTAGCTTCTCAGAAGAAGAGAGAATCTCGGAAACATATAACGGACCTGCTAACGCGCATAACTACGCTTGAACTGCAACACAAACGTTCACAACTCGAGGGGACGTATAAAGAATTATTGGAAGCTCGAAGATCTCTACATACACACATGACGAAACGACACTATAGCTCCATACAACGATCGAAGGCCTTCTTTTACCAACACGCCAACAAAGGAGGGCGACTGCTGGCCAGAATGCTAAGAGGCCCCCAAGGCATGACCCAGGTACATAAACTACGGACATCAGATGGCACGATCACACAATTCCCGGACAAAATAGCATCCGAGTTTCGCACATTTTACGCCTCGTTATACAACATCCCGGGACCCACACTACCGGAGGAGGTAACACTCAGACGGGATAGAATAAGGAGTTATATCGAATCACACATGAAGACGAGGTTGCAGCAAGGGGCATCGGAGTCCCTGGATATACCGATTACGGAGGCAGAAGTTGCAGGGGCACTCAAGACCGCCAAAACCGGACGGGCCCCAGGCCCTGATGGCTTTACCTTGGACTACTATAAAAAGTTCCGAACCCTACTGCTCCCGAGACTCACCAACTCATTTAACGCTTTGATAGACGGCGCCCGACTCGGACCCGAATCATTAGCGGCAACTATAACAGTTCTCCCGAAACCTGGGAAGGATCCCGAACTCTGCAGTAGCTATAGACCGATATCACTGCTAAATGTGGACGTGAAACTCCTCACTAAAATACTATCCACCAGAATAGGGAAAATGCTTCCGAGATTGGTCCACCCAGACCAGACGGGGTTCATCCCAGGGAGAGAAGCCAGGGACAGCACTCTTAGAGTGCAGGCCATCCATCACCTGGCAAAGAAATCAACAGATAAGCTCCTTCTATTGTCAACGGATGCGGAAAAAGCATTTGACCGGGTTGACTGGACATTCCTTATGACCACGCTACGGGAAATGGGCTTCGGAGAGAACATGATGAAATGGATTGATGCGATCTACCACTGCCCCAATGCGAAGGGGAGAGTGAACGGAGCGCTTACCGACTCCTTCCAGATCCACAATGGGACAAGACAGGGATGCCCACTCTCCCCCATGCTCTTCGCCCTAGCTCTCGAACCGTTCCTGGAAGCGGTGCGCACATCGGATACAATCAAAGGCTTCAAAAGCGGGGACACAACACACAAAGTAGCAGCATACGCAGATGACCTCTTATTTTTTATCACGGAACCGGAGGCAACAATGCCACACTTAGTCACTATGATCACGGATTACGGGGAGGTCTCAGGATTCAAACTAAACATGAATAAATGTGAAGTGCTTAACATTACCACCCCAACGGCCCAAACATCCACACTGAAGAACCAATTTCCGTTTAGATGGTGCGCAAACCATATGCGGTATCTAGGTATCGCAATAACCAGAGACCTGGACGACATGTATCGTACAAACTTCCTACCACTACTACAACGAATCCAACAAGATTTGAAAACGTGGACATATCCACACATCTCCTGGTTAGGCCGGATCGCAATACTTAAGATGAATATTCTACCACGGCTGTTATATTTATACCAGACGATTCCACAAGCTTTACCGACGGCATATTTCGCGTCACTACGTTCCGCGATGGTGAAGTTCATCTGGCATGGGAAACAGGCAAGACTACGACAGGAAGTCCTCTGCCTACCCCGAGCATGGGGGGGATTGGCACTCCCTGACCTCCGCAAATACCACCACGCGACAGTACTACAACGCGTCCTTGAATGGCATACCCAACCGGAACATAAACAATGGATCGAATTGGACAAACAACATATAGGCCCCTCCTTCTTGACATCAGTGTGGAATACGAAGAAGATGCCGCAGACGAATTTGGAACCATCCTCTACCGTGGCACAGACACTGAAAACGTGGGACTATATCAGAAAAGCTACTCATGTCTCTCCAGCACCGAGCCCGATGATCCAGATACAATACAACCCCCAGATAGGGGGAGGACTACCACGGACAGCATGGTCCTTCCTGGGAGAGAGGGAATCACACCCCATACATAAGGTGTTGACTAACGCAGATATGATCCCCCTGAGGGACCTAATAGAGGGTGACCAACCCACTAGCCTACAGACCCTCCGTTATATACAACTCAGAACATATTACCGGACACTTCCAGACAAGGAAAAGTTACACAGGGACTTGACATGGTTCGAAACGCTCTGCGATCACAAGACTACTCTAGGTAAAGCGATATCCCTGCTATACCAACACGTACTCGTAGGGCACCTCACTAACAACGACCAATTCCGCAGACGCTGGGAACGCATGCTAAATACATCTTTCACCACATCCCAATGGGAAAAGATCCTCATATTACACCATAAATGCTCATCGAGCTCCCAATATCAAGAAACCAACTATAAACTTCTCTCATTCTGGTACAGAACACCCGACAGTCTACACAGGATCTTCCCGAATGTACCTGACATATGCTGGAGATGCGGAGATGAACGTGGTTCGCCACTGCACATATGGTGGGAATGCTCGCTCATTAAGCCATTCTGGGACGAAGTTCTACAGAAAATAAGGGATCTCACAGGGACGGAAGGAAACCTCAACGCAGAGGCAGTCCTCCTACACTCAACATCGGATCCCATAAGCACATACAGGAAAAACATTCGTAGACACCTAATCAACGCAGCCAAGGCACTAATTCCATTATACTGGAAACAAACGATTACCCCGACGATAAGACAATGGTTGGAACGGGTGGAAGAAATATATAGAGCGGAATTAATACAGGCTACACTACGAGGACTAGAAGACAAGCATTTGGAGAGGTGGCGCCCGTGGCTACTCTACATAGCAGACCGAAACACAGATAGCAACGGCCGTTCGCAACCCCAAGGAGCCCCAGGACCACCCACAGACGGGGACTGATGCCTGGTCCGATACATACTACGCCGTGGTCACGGATGACGGGACCACCTCTCCCTTCATACTCCCCTATCCCCCCTCACCCAGCTCTCCCCTCCTCTTCCCCCCCTCCTTTTCTCTTACTTCTTCCTCAATTAACACTCATCTTCTCTTTAAAACTCCCCAACAATAGCTTCATTATAAGTTATATGATAAACGTAGCCCGCCTTAATCTGAGATTGCCCACAATTGTGTCTCTCACTCACATTTGCACGTCAAAATGTACGCAAACATCCTCATCACGCAACTATACGACACGAGTAAGACAAGTCCCTGAACGACATCTGACATATGACGACGGACCAATAGACCTCACTACCCCAAAGAGAATGAGGCTTAAGGGTGATAAGGTAATACTAGAGGATCACATAAAACAGACGCAAGGCACAAACTTATGAATATCCCTCTATTCAAGCCGCATTCCGATCACTCATATGTATGTCTTAACGTGTTAAACGTGACCAAATGTCATATAGAAATACTAAGTAACATTGTTTGAGTGTTGTCTGCACACTTAATGTTGGGACCTGCGCGTCCGTTATTTGTTATTTACTTGTTCAATCAACTGATACTTGCTAATGTACACGGATCAGGGCATACCCTGAAATGCTTATGTTTGAATAAAGCCTTTTTTGAAATCTTAAAAAAAAAAAAAAAAAAAAATATGGCAGGGGACCTTATTCTTCATGGGGTACAGCAAGGATTAGCCGATCACCGTCTGGGCGTATTATTATTGTAGTGGCTAGGTGTGCTCTAGACGAAGATAAAGAAAGAAATGACGTGATCATAGCGTGAAATAGCGTGGCCATGGCGTGATCTGGTCACATAGAGCGCCACCCTGAATTGCTGGGCTTGGCTCTCGTGGGGTTGTGCGGAGAATGGTTCAGCCAATGCCTAGTGTTGGGAAGTCCCGGTCAGTGCCAATATGAGTCCATGCTTTGGGGTCTCCGGGTGTGATGTCTCCATACCGGGAGTCAGCTCCAGTGGTGCCCTGAGGGGGGAGCAGTCGTTCCAACCTTTGTTTTGTGGCGTCGCCCGCAGGAATCCGGATCATGCTGCACTGCATAGTATTGGTCGGGTCTGGAGGGTTCCCTGCGTGTGCCTTTTGTGGCATGGTCGTGGGTTTATGTGGTGGAGAGCAGTGGAGTGTTCTTGCGAGGCCCAGCGCCCCTCCCCGCCTTGGAGACCGCCGGTACCTGCATTGCCTGATGGTCGCTTTGGAGGCTCTGGGTGGGCGCCTGTACTGGCTGCGTCGCGCTGCTGGTCGGATCCATGCGGCAACCATTAGTTCTGCTTGGCGGTAGGTAGCCCCTCGGCTGTGCAGCGCCTCCCAGAATGTGTTGCATAGCCAGTCGAAAGTCCCTTTTGGCGGTGTGGGTGGCTCATTATGTGCTCCCCTCTCATGGTGTCTGCACTGGGCCGCCATATTGGTATCTTGGTGGCCTGTTGCCCTTGCATAGCGTGAGGTGAACTCTTCCGTTTTTCGTTGCTTCCAGTGGGGACCGGGATATCCCCCGCCGGTCCATAGGAGCTGTATGAGCGTTGCTCGGGGCACCCGGTGCGGTCCGCCTCCCCCCGGCTCCAGCCCCAGTAGGCCTTAGGCCGATCTCCGCTTTCCCGGCTCCGACAGGTCCCGGGGTTGTAGCCATCGATTCAGCGGTGCATCCCCGACTTGTGTGGTGCACCTTCAAAGGACCCTGGGCCCTATAGCCTCCGCTTTTCCCCGTTTGCGGCCCGTTTGTCGGGAGCTCGTGGCAGGCACGTCTGCACGGCTCAGTGTCTAGGCTCCGCCCTCTTTATTAGGTATTTTTATAGTGGGATTTATATATTTCTGTTTATGCTTTGATACTATACTCCAATATTGTGTACCCAAGTAGGTTACAAAATATATATTTTTAGTTTAATAAAGGTTTTAATTATAAATGCCTCCGTTTTCTAGGTATGTTATTAATTGTGTTTTATACATATTT